CCCACGCGCGCGCCGCGGGCCCGGCGCGCGCGCACCTGCGCATCGTCGCCGGCGCTGAATAGCAGCAGCTGCTTCGGGTGGAACACCACTCTGAGCACGACGCCCTCGTGCCCAGCAAAGCTGTGGGTGCAGAACCCGCCCTGCAGGTCCCAGACTTTAACCATCCGGTCCGCGCCCGCGGTGGCGAGGAGCCCGCCGGACGCGTCGACGGCGGCATCGGCCACGGGCGCGCGGTGCGGGCGCCACGTGCGCGCGACGGCGCCGGTGGTCAGGTCCCAGACGCGCGCCGAGAGGCTGCGGGAGGCCGCGAACGCGGTCTTGCAGTCGGGGCTGGCGGCGACGGCCGTGATGGGCTCGGAGTCCTGCGGGGCGGCGAGGAGGGCAGGGGCTCGCGCGAGTCGGCAGGCGCGGCGCAGAGCGCGCGGCGGGCGCAGCAGGCGTGGCGGGCGGGCGCTGATGTTTTGGGACGTGGGGCTTCGGCGGTGTTGGCGCTCACCCCTGGTAATGTGCGCACGACTGCACCCGTTGCGAGTTCCAGGACCTATATTTTTTGGGGGGGGGGTCAGGTGGACACGCGGCGCTGGGCCTGGCCAAGGTTGCCAAGGGGGGTCGCATATGCTGCTGCAGAGGGGCATGCCCGCCACCCTCTGTGCATCCAGTTACTGTGCACATGGGCGGCGCTCTGGTTTCATACACAGGTGACGCACGGACCGCCGCACCTTGACCTCATCGCCGCACGCGCAGACGGCATGCTTGCCGTCACGTGTGAGGCGCGCAGCTGCGCCCGTGTAGAAGGCCTCGAGCTTGGCTTTCGGCTTGTATGTGGTTTTAAGCTGCAGGGCGTCCGCCATGGCGCCGCGTGCTGCACCAGCCTCGACCCTGGTGCTGGCGGCCGCAGGTGCCGGAGCAGAGCGGCGGCCGCTGCGGGTGCCGCCTAATGGCGCGCGGTGTCAGCTGCGTGTAAGGCGCGGACTGTGAATCTCAAGGCATTCACGAACGTTATTGCTAAAGATTTATCCGAGCTACAGCTGCGGCAGCCAGGCTGCAAAGGACGCACACAGGCGTAGACCGTCAAATGGCTTCGGCTAGTCTACGTCGTTGTTGATCAGATGACAATAACGACAGCTATGCGTGCGATAACCGGCATCCTGTGCGATCTGTGCCGTCCCCAGGTTAGTCATCACGCTCACGCGCGCCGGCCCCGCCGCCGGCCCCTCCATGACCTCCGCCACCGCAAGCGGTATGGGGTGCCTAGCCTACTCCTACTCACCTACTCCTGGGCTGGCAGCTGCACAGGAGCCTGCGCGTAGGCTCAATGACTTGCAAAACACATACCTTGTAGTTTTTCGCGATCGGGGACGGCAGTGGCCCACGGCCGCTACCCGCGGGTGACTCGGATCGGGACCGCGGCCAGCCGCGTGAATACCGCATAAAAGCCTTGAAGTGATCAGAGTATGCATCAATCCGGACAGATCGGTGGCTGGTCGGTTTGTTGGTTGCCGGTTGGACACTCCAGGTGCGCCGCTGACCTTGGCGCGCCCTGCGATGCTCAGCAGTGCTGGCGCTCTGGTTGCCATTGCAGTTCATGCAGCCGCAGCAGAGGGTTCAGCCCAGTCAATGTGGCCTATTGCTGCCTGTTGCACGAGCCGCGCTGAGCCTGCCACAGCCCAGCCTGAAGCAAGCCTGCCTGCCCTTGCTGTGAAGGGGCCTGGGCTGTGAGACCCTCCCCTCAGTGGGTGCGCCGCACGTCATGACAAGGACCCTCCTTTACCCTGACCCCCTGCTGGCTCACCCGCCTCTGATAGGCCGCCATGGAGCGACGCGGCTCCACAGGGCCCGGGGGCACCCCGCCGCCTGGTGGGTCCTTTGTGCTGCGCAGGGATGCTGCTTCTGCATGCGCCCAGGTGGCTGCGGGCCGCGCACGGATCGGGGCCCCCGCCGCTGCCCGGGCGGCGGCAGCGGCACTGGGGGTGACGGATACCAGTGCTTCTGACATGGGAGCGTAGATGCCGCATCGGCCGCGGCCACGACCTGGGGAGGACATGTGGGCTGGCCCCAGCTCTCTGCGGCAGCGCGTCTTCACCCATGTGGACCCCAGAGTCGTACTGGCACCCACGCCCCCCAAAAGGACACACAACAAAACAGAATACTCATCACCTCTTTGCCTGCCAGACGATGAGCTCTTTCTACAAGGCTGGGGTGGATGCAGCAGGAGCGCCAGCAGCTGCTGTGCAAGCAGGAAGCAGACAGGGCTCTGGAGCGAGACAGCGAGAACCGATGGTCGTATTACCCAAATATTTGTTTCTGATCATGTATTACACGCGTTCAGACATTTCAAGGCAGTGCTTGACAGCAGCCTGTCGAGGTGCGGGGCCCGACAGTGACGCTCGGTCTGCAGCTGCCAATCGCACCGCGAAGCCCGAATTATTACACGTTTACATGTTCGAAGTTCATTTGCACCGCCACGACGCGCCCGGACCCCGCCAGCCCAGGAGTAGGTGAGTAGGAGTAGGCTAGGCACCCCATACCCGCAAGCGCCTGCCTCAGGAACGCGACCGCCTCCCCGTGCTGCAGCTGCGCGCGGTGCGTCATGCCCAGTCCAGACAGGCAGTCCACGCTCCCACGACACAACCAGACGATCAATAACACCGTACACAGAGCGTGATTAGAAAAAGGGTGATGAAATCGTCTATTTCTATGGCTTGATCATGACGGACCCGACCCGTGCTGAATGCATGTTGGTCAACCACCACGCCACTCAACTCAGGGGGAGTGCTGGGTGCGCGCTCTGTTTTATTGGTCGTATGTTCATGTAGTGGCACAATAAGGGGATGTATTGCAATCAGTTGTTCGGATAGACTATCCCGCAATCCATTCTGTTTTTTCCCCAGCGACCTTGGCTTTCCAGGCGCCAGTACAGGGACAGTCAGGTGGAGCCTGCTGGTGTCCAGGTTGAGCGCCGCTACTTGAGCCGCGGCGATGCTAGTGGATGTATAGTGCCCACAGTAACCTTCATGCACAGGGGACAGGTGCAACACCGCCGTCCCTGCAGAGCACGTCAATGTCATCTGCACACTCAGCAGCTTTCTATGATGGGCATGGCCAAGGGTGATGTAGTCATGTTAAAAATGGCAAACCTGACCTGCGACGGCTTTTACATGATCTATTGGTGCATGTGTGTGTGTGTGTGTGTGTGTGTGTGTGTGTGTGTGTGTGTGTGTGTGTGTGTGTGTGTGTGCGTGCGTGCGTGCGTGCGCACGTGTGTGTGTGTGTGTATGTGTGTGTGTGTGTTAGTGTTGCGTACGTGCGCATGTGCGTGTGTGTGTGCGTGTGTGCGTATGCGGGCGCGCGCGCCTGCGCAGGCGTGTGCGCACACGTGCGCGCACATGCGGGCACCATGTAGCAGGACTGAGGTGTTGCTACGGTACTAGGTAGGGTCACACCAGCATGCAACAGCTGAGCCATGCAGGATTACATATGCATCCTTCGCTTAACATGTGCGCGATGCTGACAGAAGGGGGCCGATGCTGTCCCCACGAGAGCTGGACACCATGTTGCTGGGTGGACCTGGCGCTGCTGAAGCTGCCTTGAGTTGACCGACCAGCTGGGCACGGTGCAACGCCCCGCCAGCAGGCAATAGGAACGCGAGCAAACTATTTCGTTGTATCAATCGTTCCATTGACTCATGGACGGGGGGTCCTTCACGCCAGGAGGCCGGAAGCTGCTGCGAAGGAACCACCACAGAAGCCGATTGCTTGTGTTGTAAGAGCTTTGCGCTCGGTGTTCAAGCATTCAATTTCGTCGTCGTGATTGTTTAACGACTCAGGCTCGCCTTTTGTTTCTCGTGATCACAAGAGGTTGGTGCAGCGTGATCGTGTCCAGCAGCCCGCGTGGCCGCTCCGCACCCCTGCCTACGGGATCACAGAGCACACAGCCTCAACATGGTGGCGAAATGGGCGGGCGTTGCCCTAGGTGAGCGATCGGCGGCCTTTTGGCTCGTTCTGGGAGCTTCCCTGGTCCGCGCGGTGGTTGAGGGCTCCCGGCCCTGTCCGTGCTTGCATACAATTACATGGGGTTATCAGGAATCCTTTGGGGCAAGCGCATGGCCTAGGAACGCCGATTGCTTGGCGAGTGCTGGCCGGCGCGCTGCCGACAGGGTGTCCCCAACCAGCGCGCGCATTCCGTGCAGTGGAAGCTGCACTCCCACGCACATGCTGCACCGCATGCCCTCTCATTGTCTGCACCCACTCGGTGGACGCCCTTTGCAGCCCTCGCCGTGGCGTGTGGCGTCTTTGGCATGGCTGTGCAGGCCAAGGAAGAGGAGAAGCTCGGCACTGTGATCGGCATCGACCTGGGTACCACCTACTCCTGTGTGGGTGTTTACAAGAACGGTCGCGTTGAGATCATCGCCAACGACCAGGGAAACCGCATCACACCGTCTTACGTGGCGTTCACCGACAGTGAGCGCCTCATCGGCGACGCCGCCAAGAACCAGGTCGGTTGGGGCCAATGTTTCTTTAGCAACGCAAAGCTTGTTGCCTGAAGGCCTGCATGGACGCTTATGGCCCTCATACGGACGCTGTCCTGGTGCCAGTGATATGAACAATGCGATCCAATGGTGTCTGACATGCATTTTTTGCCACGCAGGCGACTGTGAACCCGAAGCGCACCATCTATGATGTCAAGCGCCTCATCGGCCGCAAGTGAGTGGTCGACCACAGGCATGCTGCCACCAATGACACCTTTAGCATCACTCAACCCGATCGTGCCACGCACTGAAATTTGAGGGCCGTACATGGCAGCATGCGGCGCTTATCTGCTGCTTTGCATCTGCGCGCCTCAGCACGACACTGACGCGGCACGCCTGTGGGCACACCGGCATCGCCTGCAGGTTTGAGGACAAGGAGGTGCAGCGCGACAAGAAGCTGATGTCCTATGACATTGTGGACAAGGCTGGCAAGCCCATGGTGCAGGTCGACGTTGCGGGCGAGAAGAAGGTGCGGGCGCAGCAAGGGCAGCTGCAGTGGCTGGCTGGTTGCTGTGGATGCATGCCTTGCTCAGAACGGCAGGATTGGCTGCTGTGACAGCGCTGGCTGGGCATGTGCATGGGACTGCTTGTGCGCGGGGTAATGGCATTGCCTCAAAACAGAATTGCGCGCATCACACCTGCACATGTGCCTGACGCTTGCTTTTCTCCCAACTCCTTGGCTGCACCCCGCGCTTCAGGTCTTCAGCCCCGAGGAGATCAGCGCAATGATCCTGCAAAAGATGAAGGACACTGCCGAGGCTTTCCTGGGCAAGTCCGTGAAGCACGCTGTCGTGACGGTGCGACCAGCATGCCAGGCTTGTTAGTCCTTTTCATGTTACTGGACTGCATTGCCGGACTGGGTTGGATGTAATACACGCTGCGTGCACTTCCAACTTGAACAACTTGCTACCCCCCCCCCCTTTTACACATAATGTGCTGGCTTGAATTGACCTGCCTGGCCATGTCGGCAAAAGCACAGCCACTGCATATTGCCAACCTGACTGAGTCCTTTGCTTCCCCGCCGGCTCTCATTCGCGACCACCAGGTGCCTGCGTACTTCAACGACGCGCAGCGCCAGGCCACCAAGGATGCCGGCACCATCTCCGGCCTCAACGTGGTGCGCATCATCAACGAGCCCACCGCGGCCGCCATCGCATACGGCCTGGACAAGAAGGGCGGGGAGAAGAACATCCTGGTGTTTGACCTTGGCGGCGGTGAGCACTGGGTGCCCTGCATATTCCATCGCACGGGGCTATGGTGCCTCTTTTGTGAGGAACCGTCAGTGTTGTCCCACGCACATGCTTTTGCTTGAGATAGTGGTGCCAGCGCAGATGCGGGGTTGCAGCCGACGAGGGTACAATGCAGCAGCAGCATGGCGTCCTTGTGACCTTGGGTACTCATCACACAGGCTGACTCGCGCATTGGCCGCGGTCGCGCGCCTGCAGGCACCTTCGATGTGTCCATCCTGACCATCGACAACGGCGTGTTTGAGGTCATCGCGACTCACGGCGACACCCACCTGGGTGGCGAGGACTTTGACCAGCGCGTGATGGAGGTGGGTTGATGCCTGAAGCGGGTTGGGATGCTCTAGCTGAAGGTGTGCATCGTTGATGTGGCTGGCGGCACTGACCGTCCTGCTGACAATGGCCTGGGTCCATGGTGCTCATGGGCAGTGGGTTCCTGATCATGTTTGTTGCTGTGAGGTCATACAGGGTCATGACTTCCTCCTCGTGCGTGCACGCACCATCACCCTGTTGTGTGCAGTACTTCATCAAGCTCATCAAGAAGAAGTACAGCAAGGACATCACCGGTGCGTGGCGAAGGGGGTTGCGTGTGCGTGGGCCCTGGAACAAGTGCGAGGGGCGGCAGCAGCCATGGTCACAACTTCGGTGGCAGCATCGGCTGTCACTGCAGCTGCTTGGCGCTGAGTGCCCGTTGTCACAGCCCTCTCACTTCACACCGTTGTTGTGCCTCTGTTTCTACCACCCTCACCCCCGGTGCAGGCGACGCACGCGCCCTCCAGAAGCTGCGCCGCGAGGCCGAGCGCGCGAAGCGCGCGCTGTCCAGCCAGCACCAGGTCCGCGTGGAGATTGAGTCCCTGGCGGAGGGCGTGGACCTGTCGGAGCCGCTCACGCGCGCCCGCTTCGAGGAGCTCAACAACGACCTCTTCCGCAAGACCCTCGGGCCCGTCCGCAAGGTGAGGGGCCGGCGCGGCGAGGGGCGGAGGCCCGGCACGGCTGGGCCGGCAACGGCGGCCGCGAGGGAGATGGCGTGCGGCGGCCTGGGGGCGGCAGTGCAGTGCGAGCCGGACGCTTTAGTAGCACCGCCCGGCTGCCCCGGCTGGTGTCTCTCAATGTGACATCTCTACCCCCGCCCTCCCACTGCGCGCAACCGCTCCCCAGGCCATGGAGGACGCCGGCCTGAAGAAGAGTGAGCTGGACGAGGTTGTGCTGGTGGGCGGCTCCACGCGCATCCCCAAGGTGCAGGCCCTCCTCAAGGATTACTTTGACGGCAAGGAGCCCAACAAGGGCATCAACCCCGACGAGGCCGTGGCGTACGGCGCGGCGGTGCAGGTGCGCAAGGGGGAGAGGGGGGTGTCGAGGGGCTGCGGGTGGCGGCCGCAGCGAGTTCTGGGGTTTCCTGTCCAGACGCAGGGGGTGATTAGCAATCCTGCGCAGTGGCAGCAATTTTCAAGGCAATGATTCAGGCCATGGCAGTGAGCTTTGCGGTCGCAGCACAGGCCTCCCTTTGCCGTCGCAGCACTGGCCTCATGTTCTCATCCTTCCCTGCGCCCTCGTGTCCCTGCACCCCAGGGCGGCATCCTTGGCGGCGAGGGCGGTGACGAGGTCAAGGACATCCTGCTGCTCGACGTGGCTCCCCTGTCCCTGGGCATTGAGACGGTGAGCTTGAGCAGCCAGGGCAGCAGCGGGGACAAGGGCAGAACAAGGGCAGGAGTGAAGGGTATTGGTTGTTGGAGCTTTAGCCTCAAACGCAGCACCTGCGGTTGCGATTTTTCACACGAGCCGCAGTGCCACGGCAGATGTTTTCCTCCCTTTTCCACTCTTTCGCCACACCTGCCCATCCTTCCTGCTCACATCCCAACCCGTCCCCCGCCCCCTCAC